CTATTTGTGAATAAAAGAATTGGCCGTCAAACTCGCTTCCAACAATAATAACAGTATGTAAAAACGTACGGAAGTATACCGTTTGCATAAATCGGAATCCAAGTATAACTGTAGATGTACTTCCAAAGGCGGAATGTATTACGTATTCGTAAAAGTTTGAAAAAACCTTTATGTAATTATTTCCAGATTTGTAATCATCTTAGGATTTATCTTATATATTATAAGTTAAAAGGAAGAATACAGGATTTATCAAACGTACCAATTACTCGTATAGTTACAGTTAGTATTATTTATAATATATACTCTAAACATCGACTAAGACATGTTAAGATCAAAATTCTAATTTAAAAACAATCGATTCAATCCGCACGTCATTGATAAATATAAACTTTAATACCTAGATCGTATCGTATTGTATAATCGTATACGAAATAATAATAACACTAATATTATTCTTTGCTATCCTATTATATAGCTATCTTATAATCAAACTTCTTTTTTTTTCCTCCCAAAGCTGATAGCCTTGAGAGGCTATATCAGCGTCGCCTTAACTAGTAGGTAAGCTCACGGGGCTCAAATCTGATGACGTTGCTAATACGAACCCTAGCAAGAGCCGTGCTTCGCAGAATCTACCACCGGATCGGAAACGCGACCCACTGAGAAGATCCGGCGAGAAACTCAGTGGGCTGTGTCTGAGGGTTAATTTACTCGGCGAGCCCTTCGTCGCAAGTGGCGGGTTCGATGAGAACGATGACCGGTGCTTGAGGTACCTAAAAGCACCATCAAACATAAATAAATATTATTAGGGTATCAATATCATTTTTTTTCTTCTTTTTCCTAGTTAACTCAACGCTCACCTTTTCCGAATGAATCTTATCATTTTAAACTCACACACGAAAACAGAATAGTGATTTGAATTTACAAAAACACACCAACCTTTGTTGTTTTTGCATAACACTTGACCTGATCCGATTACAGACAACTCGTCGCAGACCTCACCGTCCTAAATTCACTCCTTAATATTTATGGAAACTGTCTTAAATAACACAGTTCGCTTCATGTTACGTACATAAATCAGAGCTGTGCGAAATTACATGAGGCTACCCTCAACGCGGTCGAATTTATTATGAAGTTATGTAATGTGATAATTTTATTTAAAGTTTTAAATTATTATTTTATAAATTAACCCAAAACATATTTTTTTATAGTTCGTCTGCAACGATTAGTCATTAAGACGAAATAAGACAAGTATATTTAAAAAAAAAAAACATCAATTAATACCATTCGCATAAAGATCCTTGTAGGTTAAATTACTTTCTAAATTATGGTCCATAATATTTATAATGTTTTTTTTTATTGTTTAGATTGTTGGACGAGCTCATAGCCCACCTGGTGTTAAGTGGTTACTGGAGCCCATAGACATCTACAACGTAAATGCGCCACCCACCTTGAGATATAAGTTCTAAGATCTCAGTATAGTTACAACGGCTGCCCTACCCTTCAAACCCAAACGCATTACTGCTTCACGGCAGAAATAGGCTGGGCGGTGGTACCTACCCACGCGGACTCGCAAGAGGTCCTACCACCAGTTATGTAATCTTAATAATTCTATATCAAATAATTTATAATTTTATATAATAAAGTCGATGTATGGGGGTCGATTGCTTCCCGCTTCCGTAGGTTTAACCCGCGATTCCCTACAAGTGACCCCTGGGTGGTGCTAAACGGGAGCCGAAAACATAATCGGTGGTAGGACTAGTCCGACTGGCTGGCGACCACCCTCCAACTAGAGTCCGCCGCCAAATAGCCTAGCTGTGTTCCGGTGTGTGGGTTGGAGAGCCAGTTTTATTCCTTTCNGGGACTTCGGTTCCCTCTGTATTTTGTACCGAATGTTCCATGGGGAGTGCTCTGAGGAATTGTTCGAGATGATACCGGCATCTCGTTTTTACCATCGCACCGCCCGCCACCGGAGTAGAGTTCATCCATACTACCTGGAGCCACTGCGGGCATCGACAGTGCGTTTCCAGAGGTCTTTTCTGCCACGTACCATCCGGCTATGAAATGAGCTCCCCTCCACGGTGTTTCCCGAGCGCTATGACATGTCCTTCTTTAAAAGAGGCTTGTGGAGAGTATTAAGCGATAGGCAGCGGCTTGGCTCTGCCCCTGGCATTGCTGAAGTCCATGGGCGACGGTAACCACTCACCATCAGGTGGGCCGTATGCTCGTCTGCCTACAAGGGCAATAAAAAAATAAAAAAAAAAATAATAATAACTAAACATAAGAGGAAATTTATTACATAAATAAATTTAAATTTAAAGGTGTCCAAGGAAATGTAATTATAGCCGAATTGCAAGCCTTGAGCGAACACCGGTGCAAACAAAATGGCGTTACGACAAAACGTCAAAATGAAAAAAGTAGACGTGTAGCATGCGGCCTCTTTGTTTCCATAACAAATTACAGCAATCAAGTTGACGATGAATTCTAACGTTTATATTTATAACAACGTTTTGAGGGGACGCTAAAATAAATTGCGGTGCGACCCTTCTCGGATCGTGGTGGTCCCTTGGCCACACTGTAACTAAAACCTATGCCCGTGCTCAGCATATATTCGTACAATGTTAACTAGAATAGGTAAACAAACTGGATCTTGAATAATAGTAAGCATTAATGTTCAAAAAAAAGTTTTTTTTTTTTATATATTAATAGTAAGCATTTATTTTTAAAAAAGTATTTCCTTTTTTTAGTATATGTAGTAGCAATGCAAAATTTTTCTACGCGATATAAAAATAAAGGATATATATATATATTGCATATTTTTACTTGTAGGCTAGTTACGTTTATATAAATGATCAAGGGCATCCTCCACGTTATTAATAGTTTAGTAGTGTAATTGTTTAATTGTTTAATTTTATATTGTGAATAAAATTATTTCCTTACATTATACGTTAGATTAGTTTTCGTTGTCGTGTTGTTTTGTCGTATAATTGTAAGGAACGTTGTTGTACAAATTCAGCAGTGTATCTTGTTTTGTCGTGCACACATAACTTATACTAGATGATGACCGGTTTTTTTTTTTTGATAACACCATCTTGTTGTTTCTTTAAAGCGGTTAGTAGCCCTCAATAAAAATAGTATTATTATTCGCCAATAGATGTCGGGAAGAGTTGATTATTGAAAACACGAATAAAACGAACATTTCTGAAAAGAAATCGTAGCTAGATCGATTTATCGCCCCCGAAATCCGCTGTATACTAAGCTTTATGAAAATCGTTGGAGCCGTTTCCGAGATTCAGATTATATATATATATACAAGAATTACTTGTTTGAAGGTATAAGATTGCAAGCCAGGTTTTGTTTCTTTTTACTTGTGTATTTTATGTATCTTTTTAGCTTGTAATGTGTATTGTGAGCCTAATAAATAAATAAAAAAGTAACATTTCGAATTTTCTATGTATTATTACTTGTAACCTTTTATATTTATTTCGTGCAACGCGGCTTTCAACTCGTAACCATTTTCATTATCAATTAACAAATGTTAATAATTGTTTATTAGAAAAAAATCATTTGAAGGCAATCTTATTGTATTTTCGTACCACCTAAAGTAAATATGTAACTTAGTACAAGTAAGGTTTATTTTCTTTGCTTTGCTGAGAGAATATCATTTTCAATTATACCTTTCCCTGGTGCCAATTGAGGCAACATCAGGCGATAAAAAATTTCACCTTACCTTGCAAATCTTCAATCCAATTTGCCTAAACATCTCAATTCATAAATCACTAAGGAGTTTGCAATTGTAATTTTACTCTGACAGATATTAAAAAACAAATACTTATAGTATATAACGAATGCCTCCTGAATAAAACATCACTGTGATAAAGATCTGAGAAATTATTCAAGGATGACTGAACTCAAAGACTTTTAAGGAATTAATGTAAATGATTTTGTATCATGCGATGAGTATTCTTTCGCTGTTTTGTAACTTAACTACGTTTGTTATTCAATTGAGGGTATATTCCTAGGCGCTCTACGCCAGGTTGCTAACCCAGTCCATATACTTTCATATAAATGTTAAAATAGACATTCACGTGTCTAGCGAAAAAATGCTTTTGTACTTGCAAAGTAAAATATTATTACGTAATCAAATTTGTTGTTTAAAAATCGACATAATGTATAACTAGTAATTGTACATTGTCGTTTGTTTGCGAAAATTAACAGTTTCACAAAATGGCGAAGGGAAAATGAAAAATCTCGGTGCGCGGGTGATTTTAACAAATGAAATACCACCAGTTATAACAGTGACATTACACTCAATAAACGACTTTAAAAACTACTTACTGAATTATACTGAATTACATTATACAGTGGAAAGAAGTCAAGAGGTTGATAGTCAATTTTCTTTTAAAGAAGCCCCAAAGAGATAATTCTTAAGTTTTTAAGTCCGAAGCATAGATAATACACATAAAATAGTTATAGATAAGCAACTCATGCACTCAACAAAAAGGTTTACGGGCGTCTGCTACTAGATGGCTTCGTTTCAATTAGTTTCTCATTGCTTCTGTAGCTGGCAGTAGCATATTACCAATCCTATATTTTATTTATAATGAAGGGTTTCGTAAATTTTCGGAAACCACAAATCGATAAAATTTAATCAATTTGTCTATAACAAATACAGACTTGCATTTGATTTATATTTTTTTTTATTTTCTATGTTAAGTTATACAATAATTAAATGCATCAACTTTAACAACATAGAAGTTTAGGGGCATCCGCTACAAGATGTCGCTATTTTCCATACAGAAAAAATATTTGTCTTAAGGTATCGCAGTTTCAGAACCCTGGTCCGAAGGTCGTTAGTACATGCACGCCATGTCTTTTTATTATTATTTTGTGTAGATACTCTCTCTCCCTCACACTGTCTCAATCTTGAAAGTCAACACGGATTGCTCTTTTGGTGGATTCTTATTGGTATGCCTTAAAACTAAATTGAATGCTTGTTTCAGTTGTTCGACAGCGATGTTATGCGCTGCCATCATGACAGACCACTGGGAGCACGTGGCGTGGGACCGAGCCGCGCTGACCGCGCTAGCTAACACGTCGCACATACCGCTGCAGTGGCTGTTAGATGAAAAAGTTGTCAAAGTAAGTTGGTAGCAACAAATAACCTATACCAATGTTCGGCAATATTTTCAACCAAAAGAGCCAAATCTGTCTATCTATCTATCTATCTATCTATCTATCTATCTATATATTATATAAAAATGAATTGCTGTTCGTTAGTCTCGCTAAAATTCAAGAACGGCTGGACCGATTTGGCTAATTTTGGTCTTGAATTATTTGTGGAGGTCCAGAGAAGATTTAAAAGGTAAATAAATATGAAAATGCTCGGAATTAAATAAAAATAACAATTTTGTTTTTCCTTTGATGTGTCCCCCGTCGGACGGATTCCTTGTGTTTGTTTTAAGTTTATTTTATACAAAGTTTAGGCCTTTTATTTATCGATTGAGACACTACGAAGTCTGCCGGGTCAGCTAGTATAATATAACACATAATCGAAATTTATTCGAAGGAAAAGCCATTCATTTCTTTAACATATATTTTTGTGTCATTGTATTTCAAAAATGTTTACTCATCTTTTACAAGGCAAGGTAATAAGTAAAATTCCGTGCCTAGACTAAGCATTTCGTGAATGAGCCATAGTTAAGGAGGCACCACTGACCTTTACTATATACTATACCGGCCTATACTATCGAATAAGGTACAACCTTCGTGGGAATAAAGTAAATCTAACAGAAAAAATAACAATGTGGAATCATGTATCGAATGAATAATTTAGTGAAGGAGCTCATTTGGTATATGTCACTTTTTAGTAGTTGTTCGCTAGTTAGGTCATTATGTACTGGAATTTCTGTGACAACGTCCTCTATTTTTGGGCTACCAATCACATCTTCCCATTTGATGAGCTTCATATTTACAAAAGCACTAAAAAAATCCTCAATACATATTACTGACTTGCAATCAATCCACTTATTATTATAATAATTGAAGATTTAAAAAGTTTTACCTATTTTAGTACCGAATCAACGGTAGCTGAAACCCAGCATTACATTTCAAAACAGAACATTTTAATTACAGTTAAATTTATTACATAAAACCCTTGTTACGTATCATGTTAGTCTTTGTTATTCTCGCTTCTGAAAGTTGGATCTAGACAGAATTCTCGCAGATCGATTGATGCCTGAAGCCTTTCTATATCTCTCTGTTCTCAGCCTTTGTAATGCCAAAGGTACGGGTGTACCTGCGAGGGATTTTATTTAGCCGCCCGGCGTGTGGGCGTCCTGCTTTGTGATCCTCTCCCTTACCTCCCTCTTACCCACCACAAGGCATTTCTGACTACCGGAATTCAACGAATTTGCAAGTCGTCATAGCCTAAAGGATAAGACGTCCGGTGAATTCGTATATTGCAATGCAACGGTGTTCGGATCCCGCAGGCGGGTACCAATTTTTCTAATGAAATACGTACTTGAAAAATGTTCACCATTGACTCCCACTGTGAAGGAATAATATCGTGTAATAAAAATAAAAACCGCAAATTATAATTTACATAATTACTGGTGGTAAGATCTCTTGTGAGTCCGCACGGGTAGGTACCATCACCCTGCTTATTTCAGCCGTGAAGCATTAATGCGCTTCGGTTTGAAGAGTGGAACAGCCTTTGTAACTATACTGACTATACTGAGACCTTAGAACTCATATCTCAAGGTGGGTGGCGGCATTTACGTTATAGACGTCTATGGGCTCCGGTACCCACTTAATACCAGGTGAGCTGTGAGCTTGTTCACCCATTTATGCAATAAAAACAATTTAAAAAATTAGCAACTTTCCCAACATAGCTCAAAACTCATTAAAGTTATTACGTTTCATTAACAACAAGAAAACGTATAAATTTTCGTTAGCAAGAACGTCAATTCAAGTACAAACGCTTTAAACCATATTATTTCTAAGTAAATTATGTCCTTTGCTCACATTTCTAAGTAAATTGATAAGCTGATTATTCTTCTTGACGAACTAATCCGTGGAAAGCCAATAGTTGAGCGTCACCGCGCAACTCTCGGCCAAGTAAAACGCCTCACGTGCGACCGACTTCGTAATTATACGAATACTTTGAACGTTTTGTTCTAGTTTTATTTATTTGATTCGTTTCAACGATTTATTACCTTTCAGTATTTATTACTTCGCACACGCTTTATTTAGTTTCATTTATTAATTGAGATCTTATTATTAGAATTTAAATAGTATAGAATTTCACGTGAATTGAGCCGTCATTAATGATTTGCGGTATTTGACTATTAAAATTTTGAGGTGGACAGCGGTTTGGCTTATGGCATTGCTGATGTCCATGAGCGACAGTAGCCTCTCGCCATCTGTCTACAAGCGTAATAAAAGAATAACACAAAATTATGTGTGTCGACCCGTAGCTTGATGTACTTCGTGCCACACTTACAAATTTTTAAGAAACTAACTGTACCCGTCCGCTTCGCTGGGCATTTAAAATTAATATTCTTATTTCTCACCCCCACAAAGATTCTCATCATCAACGCCCCCGCAACTGGTGTAGGGAGTCCAACACTCATATAAATATTAGCCTATCCATTAAGTACAGGTATATTCTACATGGATGCATGGTTCAGTAGCTATAACGGAACATCTCTAAAAACCACTGTAGATTTATATATTAGTATAGATAGAATAATAAATACTTATATTCGAAACATATGTGCAAACGTAAAGATACATGTTACATGTCACTCAATGATCGAAATACAAAAATAATCACGGCCATCTCAAAATCGAAATTCATTTTTTTATATTCATATAAATAATTTATTTTATAATACAAGACAGTAATTATTAAAACTTTTACCAATACCGAATTGTTTTTTCTGAGGAAAACTATATTAATAAAATCTTATAAGGCTATACCGACAGTAAAAACTTGTTAAAATGATAATCAGGTCACAAATAAAGTACAAATCGTATAAGAATTTACTATTTTTTTCAATATTTTTAAATATCTACGATGTTATACGGTTTTTCGTTTCGCCCAAAATAACAGATATTATACATACAATACTTAAAAACGTAAACGGAAGTTGTTAGACGACAAAAAATGTATACCTATTTTGAAAACCTTTATATTGTCATTGGCTTCACACTAACACAATTCTTCTTTCAAGGCAAACGAACATATGGCCTATCTATATATGAGTGAACTGAAAGAGACAAAAGAAACCCACAAAATTATAATTTGCGTAATTACTGGTGGTAGGACCTCTTGTGAGTCCGCGCGGGTAAGTACCACCAACCTACCTATTTCTGCCATGAAGCAGTAATGCGCTTCGGTTTGAAGAGTGGGGCAGCCGTTGTAACTATACTTGAGACCTTAGAACTTATATCTCAAGATGGGTGGCGCGTTTACGTTGTAGATGTCTATGGGCTCCAGTAACCACTTAACACCAGGTGGGCTGTGAGCTCATCCACCCATATAAACAATAAAAAAAGACTACGAACCTACAATAATTAGGTATAAAATGCCGAACACCAAATATCTTCTATCTCTGTCTATGTCTATCTCATAGTACAGGTCTATTTCCAGTAGAACAACTCGGTGAATCCCAGGTTTTTTTATTGACCTTGTAGGCAGATGAGGTCACCTAATTGGTTACCGTAGCTTATGGACGTCAGCAAAGCCAGTGGCAAAGCCAAGTCGCTGCCTACCGTCGAGTATTCTCGGCAAGTCTCATTTGAAGAAGGACATGTCATAGCGCTCGCGTGGAGGCGAATTCATTCCAAAGCCGGATGAATCCATAAAGAAAAGTACCCTTATACAAATTGTAATCACGAAAATTGGGGAAACTTAGTCTATTTGAGCTATATAATCGTGGACACATCTAGTACCGCAAATAATGATGAGCTCCGTGTTTCTTTTCTGTTCGCAACACGCAATTGCTTTGGCATCGATAAAATAAAATATAATTTCATAAAAGCACCTATTTTTTCGTCTAATGCTATTTACGAAGACACGTAGGTATGTAGGTATCTGCTTCTAACATCAAAAAAGTTCGTGACGTGCTTAAAACATTCGAGATTCTTTTATATTTCGTTCGAGAAAAATGTAGTAGTAAACAAAATTTATTGAATCGCTCCATAAAAATTCATATTTTTTTTAAATTGTACAGGCGATTTTAGCAAATATTCAGATTTATTCACGGTTATTTTTATTTTCATTACAGGCGTTATTGTTTAACGGGCTCTTTCCAAGGTTTTCATATTAAATGAGTTTGGAATATTACGACGTGTTGCAGGCGCCGTGATCACTTACAGACTGACGACTGCGGGTAGGATGTTAAAAGCTGAAAAATCTGTCTACTCTCATAATAGTCGTTTTTGATATTACCACTAGAACCGATGAATCGTTCCAACAATAAACACACGGAGTATAGACAGTTTTTCCGAACACTATGGATTCATAGACGAGCTCACGGCCCATCTGGTGTTAAGTGGTTACCGGAGCTCAAAGACATCAACAACGTAAATTCTGCCATCGACCTTCAGACGTGAATTCTAAGTCTTAGTTTTGTAATACAACGGCTGCCCCACCCTTCAAACCGAAACGCATTACTGCTACACGGCATAAATAGTCAATACATACCCGTGCGAGCTTAGAAAACGCCCTATCGCCAGTGAACGAAGCATTCTTTGCCTAGTTTTCAAAACATCAACTTTATTAGTTCGAGTGAAGATGCCATTAACTTTCAAATTCTATCGCATGAACCACTTTTCAGTGCGTATTCGTGAACAGATACCGCAAAAAGTGTATCTAATGTATAGACACCACCGTCCTACATTGCTCTATGAAAATTTTAAAACTTAGATTAAACCATAAAAATAGTTTTGATTACATTTACGCATATTATGGTTTGCTTTAAGTGTGAATAACGATACAAATCCGTTCGAAACAACAGCCTTTTTTTTATTGCTTAGGTGGGTGGACGGATGAGCTCGCAGCCCACCTGGTGTTAAGGTGTTACTGGAGCCCATAGACATCAACAACGTAAATTCTGCCATCGACCTTCAGACGT